AAAAAAAAAATTTTGGCCTTCAGAAAAATTGATCCACTCAAGTGCAAAGGAAACATACAGCAATTTCCTAATTGATTAAAAATTAATAAAGTCCTGTGCTATGATTCTGCAGAGGATTTTGAGAGCCCACAGGGCTTGTAGTTCCACCTGAGAGTGTGCTGGTACCTTCTGTCTTATGGAACACTTTCCACCCTATGCCTCCTTGGATGGAGTCTCGGGTGGATCACCTCACCCTCTTGCTGTGACAGGATTCTCAAGGACAGTGTTATGAGGGAGGGACTAGGGAAGTGGATGGGAAAAAACAACCTGGATCCATAGTCTTGGTACAAAGCTCTCTCTGCAGTGGACGCAAAACCTAAAACCTAAAACGCTTGCTGCCACCTAATGGGAGATATGCACTTTCCTGATCAGATGGTTCTCACACTTGGGCACTTCACTGTTTGTGTCACTTATTATTACACATTCTAAAAGCTGGCATTTCTCCACTTAGGAGGTTTATATTTGAAAAATAACTGGAAAAAAAAACCTAAATATTTATATCTTAGTTGATAGTGAAAATACTGAAAAAAATTTTTTTACATGGTAGTCTGTTGTTTTTCTGTATGAGCTTACCCCCAAGGACCAAGCTTTAGCTGACGACATCCTCCACTTGGGAGATACACACAAAAAATTAGTTTTTGCTGTTGCTTCTCCCTATAGACGCTTTTTTTAAAAGATAGAATTTAGTTAGGGGCGCCTAGGTGACTCAGATGGTTAAGCGGCCAACTTTGGCTCAGGTCATGATCTTGCAGTTTACGAGTTCAAGCCCCACGTTGGGCTCTGTGTTGACAGTTCAGAGCCTTGAGACTGCTTCAGATTCTGTGTGTCCCTCTCTCTTCTCCTCCCCTGCTCATGCTCTGTCTCTCTCTCTCTCTCCCTCAAATTAAAAAAAAAAAAAAAAGAATTTAGTTATTTTTGATTTACCTATTATTTCTTTCTGAGTTTATGAGCTATGGGTGATAGCCTGTGGGTAGGTTGTCTGCCAAAAATCTAAATTATGTTGCATCTTTACCCAAGAGAAATGATGAGAATACACATCCTTCATACGATATGAATGTTCATTGTGGTAACATGCATAACTGCTCAAAACTGGAAACAATCCAAATGTCTATCAACAGATGAACAGATATACCAATAGTATATTTATGCAATGGATTATTGGTAGTAATAAAAGGACCAACTTCCAACACATGCATCAAATGGATGAATCTAAAAATTATTTTGAGTGAAAAAAAGACAGACACAAGAGTACATTGTATTCATAATTCTACTTATATGGAAGTTAAAATCAACCTAAGGGTTAGAAATCAGCGCAGGGCTTGCCTGGAGGAGGGGCAGGAGGAGCAGGAGGATAAGGGAAAGGGCCCCAAAGAGATTTCTGGGGTGATGGAAATTTTCTCTGTTTTGACTAACTTGTGGTTATGTGGGTAAAAACATATGTTAGAACCAACTGAATTCTACACCTAAAACACATGTATGTATTGTTTGTAAATCTACTTCAGTAAAAAAACATAAAAATATTTTGATTCCTTAAAAAAATGTAATTCTTTGCAGTACCTGGGTGGCTCAGTTGGTTAAGCGTCTGACTTCAGCTCAGGTCATGATCTCACGGCTCGCGGGTTCAAGCCCTGCATCAGGCTCTGTGCTGACAGCTCAGAGCCTAGAGCCTGCTTCAGATTCTGTGTCTCCCTCACTCTCTGCCCTTCCCCCGCTCACTCGCTCTTGCACGAGCATGCTTTCTCTCTCTCTCAAAAATAAACAGTAAAAAATATATTAAAAAACAAATGTAATTCTTCTCTTCAGAGTGATTTAAGGGGCTATGGCTACTCTGAACCAAGAGCCCACTGCTACAATAATGGGAAAAAAGAAGACTATGTTTACTGAAATTCAGAAAAAGAGTGAGATAAGCTACAATAATACCATCATGACCAAGAAAAAACTATTCATCTGCAACATAAAGATGAAGAAATCCAAGCAAACAGGCTAACAGGAGAGGAAATTTTGGAGGTACTGAAATTCAAGCAAAGAGACAACCATCTAACGTGTGTTCTAGAAGGCTGGAAACACAGAAAATGGGGAGAAAATAATGTAAAACATAACAGAAGACAGTGTGCAGAAACTGGAGGGAAAAAAAAAGTCCTTGGATAGAAGGAACTTGCAGAGCAATGGCCAAAATGAATGCAGTAAAGGGCAGATCCTCATGATGGTTCAGAACTCCAGCAGTAAATTCAAAATCAATTAAAAATGCCAAAGTTGAGGGGCGCCTGGGTGGCTCAGTCGGTTAAGCACCCGACTTCGACTCAGGTCATGATCTCACGGTCTGTGAGTTGGAGCCCTGCATCGGGCTCTGTGCTGACAGCTCAGAGCCTGGAGCCTGCTTCGGATTCTGTGTCTCCCTCTCTCTCTCTCTCTCTCTCTCTCTCTCTACTCCTCCCCCGTTCATGCTCTGTTTCTCTCTGTCTCAAAAAAAATAAACGTTTTTAAAAAAATTTTTTTTTTAAAAATGCCAAAGTTGAAAAAATTTGCACGGTGAACAAACAAACGAACGAAACCACTTACACGTAAAGGAATGAGATTCAGGTAACCAAAATAAGAAAAGAAAAGAAAAACAATAATATAAGAGTGCAACATTCAATGAGCAATAAGAGGAATTCTGCCATAAAGGTTTTCCCTGACAGCTAAGGTCTTCTGTTAATAAGGGTCACTCATTTTACACATATTCCAATCAGGAACATCAACATGGTATTCAGAGTCTGCTGGATTAAATCCGTACGTTACAGTGGCAGCATAAAAGGAAAAAGTTAAAAGTTCATGCTAACGCTGGCATTGCGTCGTACACAGTGGTACCAACCTTGGCCTACCCACCATTGGTTCCTTGTTTTGTGACTAAAACAAACTCCCACTTGTTTAAATCAAAGTTCTTTAGATTTTCTTTTCCATGAAGCAAACGCAGATATAACTGACATTTTTTAAACAGATGGTATGATGATTGTATTTTGCAGTAAATTATGAATCAATACCAAGTGTAGCCATTTGATTTCACTCACTTAAGACATTGGAAATATACTAGATGAACTGCTTTGCTTTTCGACTAGACTAACACCTCAAATGACTAATTCATTTATGTGGACTGCACATTTTATCTATATAAGGAGTGGTTTGTAGAGTAGGTTTGTTGATGGAAGACTGAGTTGTAAGACTTGTCAATGCCCAAATTCAGTGGCATTTGCAGTTCAGAGTCAAGGGTCCACCACTTATAATACATAAAAAGACTATTTCTTTACTTAATGTAGCTTGTTGCAAAATAAACACTTTGGATATTAATGAAATCATAATATATTATATGAACTCTGTTTTAAAGGTTTATTTAGGTATAACCTACAATTAACTGCCACTATTTAAAGAGTAAAAGCATGCATTTTGATGTCGTTTTGAGAAATATTTAGACCAGTGAAACCATCACCATAGTCAATACAGTGAACAAAAGGAGCACACCAAAAACTTTCTTATACCCCGTCAAACTTTCCTTCCCTCCTTTCCTCACCCATCCCCAGGTCTCCAGGCAATCACAATATCCTTTCCCTCTCTATAGGTTAGTTTGCATTTTCCATGATTTACAGAAGTTGAATCTTTTTGGTCTGGCTTTTTTCACATGGCATAATTATTCTGAGATCCATCCATGTTGTACATATTAATAGTTCATTGCTTTTTATTGCTGAGTAATATTCCATTGTATGGATATACGAGAATTTGTTCATCCACCTGTAGGTAAAAATGGTCGTTCCCTGTTTGGGTCCATCACGTGAGAAACATTTGTAAGTAAGTCTTTGTGGTAATATATATTATGTATGAGTAAAATGGCTGGGTTTGAAGTAGGTATATGCGTAACAGTTGAAGGTTGCCAGGGGTGCCTGGAGGCTCAGTCAGTTAAGCTTCTGACTTCAGCTCAGGTCATGATCTCCCAGTTCATGGGTTTGAGCCCCGCGTGGGGCTCTGTGCTGACAGCTCAGAGCCTGGAGCCTGCTTTGGATTCTGTGCCTCCCTCTCTCTCTCTGCTCCTCCCCCCGCTCGTGCTCGCGCGCGCGCCCTCTCTCTCTCTCTCAAAAATGAATAAACATTAAAATAAATTTGTTTTAATATTTAAAAAAAAAGAAGTTGCCAAATTATTTTCCAAAGTGGATGGACCATCTTACACTACCACCAGCAGGGCAGCAGCAGATGAGAGGGTCAGTCCTGCATTTGGCAGGTTATGTAGAGACACCTCCCTGTGGCTGTATTTGCATTTCCATAATCACCAGTGATACTGAGCACCTTTCATGAGGTTAATTTGCCATCCCCATATTTTCTTTGGTGAAGCATCTGTTCAAATCTTTTTCCCATGTTAAAAGGTGAGAAAAGACCAAACAAACCTTTACCAATGGAAAGCTCGGGGTATGTTCTTGAAAGAGAAAGTTGATTTGTTTTCAAAAGTAAAGGATTTGTGTAGTTAAGTTAAGGGAATCAAAGGTCAAATACCAGCAGGGAGCAGACTGGGGATAATTTTTTTTTCTTTTTTTTTTCTTTTTTCTTTTGGGATAATTTTTAATATCAAAAGAAATCTTGTGTTATTTCTGCAAACAACCGGGGTTATATTCTGGGATTAAATGGGAAAGTTAAGTCAGATGATCCAAACTCTCTTTCCAAAAACCTAATAGAGTGAACAAAACATAACTAAAAAATAGGAAAAAAGATTCCCAGCAACATTCATATGAGGGGTGATTGGACAGAGATGTTCCAGGAATAACACAAATTCCTTTCTACAGTCCAACTCCCTCTCCATCAAAACTGCACTAATGAAGAAAGCAAATGGAGAAAATTTTGAAAAAGACAACTATCATCATGTCCAAATTAGGAGAGAGGACAACCAAAGGTGTGAGTAACCACAGGTGAGCTCAATACATGCACATTCAAACAAAGACTCCCCTGCACCATCTCAGCAGGGAGGAGGGAACCTATTGGGATTCCCCATTCTGCCTTTTGCTAATCTGGGAGGAAGCCAGGACAGGGAACATGAGCATGGAAAAACAAAAAAGAAAACACTACACAACCTCCACCAAAGGAAAGAAAAGACTGCTTGAAGGAGTGTACATAGAAACATGTGAGAAAAGGCTCTGGGCTGAACCGTGAATAAAGTAAACTTTCCTGGTTGTAAATGGATATAAGCTTGACCCTTCTTGTGAGGCTTGCCTGACTTTTCCCTCCTCTGGGTCAGCTGGGAGAAGAAGTGGAGATGGGTAAAAGTAGGGAGAGGGAGAAGGGAAAAAGGCACTGGATACCTGGGATTACATGTATGGTCAGAAGAAAGGTGCCTGGTATTCACCCTGCACTGGGAAAACAATAGAAAACCTGAGGACACCTGCTTCTCCTCCAACAGATGGACCTATGACTCGATGGAACTAGCACTTATGAGAATTTTTTTAAATAAAAGAAAAAACAAAGAAACTAAATCTGCCCCAGAAACGGCCTACCATCATTGGTTTTCTGGGTATTTATCTGTTTTTATAGAGCATGCAATTATTTGTGAGCTTAATTATTAAACTTGGGTTTGTTTACTGCTGAATGTTTTCCTATAAATTGATTAAAGGTACATAGGTATGTTGACAGCTGTGGCTGTCCAGTCATCTTAATTATGGTGCACTGTTTTGAAGTTTTGCCTGATTGTCTTGGGGAAAAAAATGGCCTCTTCATTCATCCCTACTCCCAACTTTCCTGCTATAACTTACCAAGGAATCACTTGTTTTCATAACTCCTGGCAGCTCTTTTTCCTCCTGGGGACCATCCAACTGAGCAGTATGATTGTCACAGGTATCACCTGGCTAATAAGAGAAACGAAAGCCATTTTTATTCAGGCATATCTGTCCCAACATGACTGTTTATTCAATTATTCATTACACAAACTCTATAAATGGATAGCCATGTGGTGATATACAGAGTTAATGACTGACCTGTGCAATGTCAAGGGCATTTGCCAATTCATCCACAATTATACTGATCCTCATAAATACTGTGTACTATGGCAGAAGTTGGTCTCAAGAGCAGACACTGTTAATTAATTACCTGCCAAAATCCACTTTTATTTCCTTCTTAACTTACGAATATCATGATCCGTTCCAAGATGCTACATCTAAACTAAAAAGACTAAAGTGTGATCATGTGATAGTTATGACCAATGAGATACAAGTAAAATCCTACTTGGTAGAGCATCCAGAAAGGCTAGTATTTTCTTGTTTAAGTGGATAGAATCTGCTGGCTGATGCTTCTTCCAGAACATGGACATGATGCCTGTGATGCCCAGGCATTAAATATAAGCCTATAAGCATTAAATATAAGCCCACATGCTGCGTGGAGCAGAATGGAAAGATGAAAAAGTCGGTAGATTCAGGCTAGGGATACCAGCCACACCAGCCTCAGACGTCTTATTTTATAAGGACAATAATCTCTAATTGTCTAAGTCATGCAGCTTACTGATAAAACTATGCTACTTTAAAATCAGACTTTATGACTTTTGGTAATGACTTATAAATCAGCAAAAGTAGTCAGTTTTTTTTTCAATTAAGAAACTGGAAATACAGTAGATTGATGGTCTCACAAATACACGTGACTGAACCAAACATTTCATTCCCATTCACTGAATATTATAAAAGCTCTGATTTTCATTATGCAGCAAGTATATTTGGAGACTATTCCAATTGTGATCGATGGCATTATAAGCTTTGTGCATATGCTCTAAGATTTTTAGCAGCACTTGTGATATAATGGCATTCCCCCAAATAAGATGTAATTCTTCTATTCTATGATTGAAGCAACATTGTGCCAAATTAAACACACTGGATAATAGTGAAATCATAAACTTCTACATGAAACTTCAGAAACTGTTATTTTTCATCTTGCTTTTCCATATTTTCTAATTTTCCCCCAAAAGTGTACGCATTATATTCATAAGAAAAACATACATCTGTTTTGAAGTGAAAACAATGCTAATGAGGCAATACAAGAAGCCAGGTCAGCACAGAGGACTGAGGGCACACCACTCCCAATCACTCAGAATTAGAGAACGGGATTGTAAGACCAGCTCCAAATGGCACTGGAAACCAACAAGGTGTACTAGTAACAGGTGAGAAATTGTTAGAAATTCCTGGGGAATAAAACATAAATAACGTATTTCATAATGGCACAGATTTTAGCCTAAGAACAGCATAAAACAACACTGCTGGCAAGGAAAAGATAAATCTACAAAAAGCAAACAGACAACCAAGTAACCTCAGTGTGAAAATTAGAAAGGGTAGGATGGGGCCCTAGCGGAACAGCTGCAATAATTTATCATAAAATGTTTTGTCAATGGAGAGGCCAGACAGACCTCCCAAAAGCTCCCTTTACACTGAACAGCAGGCAGCAGCTACAAGCACTCTGGGTCCAGTGAACCACCTGCCATGGGTAGTAGTCTGGGATCAGAACTAAAACAGACCTCAGTATCAGGTTACTCTGGGCCACCATGAAAGACATGAAAGGGAGAATAATGGGAAAACATCAGTTTTGTCTTGGATAGCAAGAAATGAAATCATTTACCACTTCTCCCTTTGGTGTATGCTTGCATGTGTGTGTGTGTGTGTGTGTGTGTGTGTGTGTGCGCGCGCATGTGCACATGCACACATGAGCATGCATACTCACCCATATATACAGTGAAACTAACTCCCATTCACACAACGTTCACATACCTTACTCACTTACACAGTACCCGAAATCAGCCTTCTTATTCGATAAAGAGTCCTTTGGGTAAATATCTATATCATGGCAGAGAAATCATACAGCAATGACATATCCTAAGTAATTAATTAGTCAATCTAGTCCATTAATAAATATAAGTCAATCACTAAGAACCATCAGGCACCGGAGAAAATCAATGTTAGGAAAAAGTCACTCGTGGAGAAAAAAAAAAAACATTCTAAAAAGGTACCGTGATAAACATTCTGTGAAAAAGAATTGAGAAAAGGGAAAAGGCTTAAAATGAATTAATTTCAGAAATATTTGAGAAAATATTGCAACCATAAGTCAGGAGTAACTATAAAAATAAAGGGAAGTGAGTGAAAAAGGAGTTCTTGTCAATTAGCAGTATGACTACTGAATTAAAAAATCAATAGAGGCTACATTATAACCACTCATGGCTAAAAGGAGAATCAGGGATTTACAAAATGACATAGACAAAATCTACTAGCATACAGAACAGAAAAAAAAGACAAGGAAATATAACAATTTAAGAAATATAGAAGTTTAATATAGAGGCAATAAAAGGAAGAATAGAGAAAATGGAAATGATGAAATAATTAAAGAAATTCTGGGAAGAGAATGGTCATAACTGAAAGAAAAGTAATGTTTTTCAGAAACAAAAAGCTGAGCGCTGATCATGATGAAAAAAAAAAAGATTTCATATCCTAATGGCAGTTCAGGTTTCTAACACTAAAGATAAATTTAAGGGGCACCTGGGTGGCTCAATCAGTTGACAGGCCATGATCTCAGGATTCATGAGTCTGAGCCCCGCAAAGTGTTCTCTGCTGTCCGCACAGATCCTCTGTCCCCCTTCTTCTCTGCCCCTCCCCTGCTTGCACGCATACATGTACATGCTCTCTCTCAAAAATAAAAACAAAACATCAAAAAAAAGATAAATGCAAAAGGCTTCCAGAAATGCAAAAATGAAAGGATACAAAATAAGATGTAGAGAGAAATCAAACTTCTCAACATTAGCACTATATGAAAAAGCAAACATTAATATTTAAAAATTTCTGAAAAATTAATTTAGGGCCTAGCACTTTGATACTCACCAATTTAGGATTTAAGTTTTTATTTTTTTAAATTCTTTTTTTAATGTTTGTTTGTTTATTTATTTATTTATTTATTTATTTTATAGTGAATATAACTTATTGTCAAAATGGGTTCCATATAACACCCAGTGCCCATTCCAACAGGTTCCCTCCTCAATGTAGGGTTTAAGTTTTTAGGTATGAAAATTTAGTATCCAGAGAGATTTCTTGCCAGATTCGCTCAAAGGATAAAAGGTACAATCTGCTAAGAAGCTGTAACAGTTTGTAATACGTACGATTATGCGAATTAATATTTTTACTGTTCTCTGTAGTCATTCTGCTATGTTAGCCCTCACCATCCTCCTGGGAGAAAGAATGGTACTCCCTTTCTCATTCTATAAACTGCTCAGTAGTTCAGAGCAGGGCCTGGAATAAAACTTTAATGTCCTCTTCCGTCTTACTGCTAGATTTCTTCGATTGTTCGGCACCACAGTTGCCCCTTGATTCACCTTTAAAAGGTGATAAGACCTTCCAGGAATTGAAATAAAAAAAATAGTGAAAAAAGGGAAAAGAAACAAAATAAGCCTAGACAATCACGGGAGCCCATGGTTAGGATGGTGTGTTAAGTGTGGCAAGTAAGACTTCAAATAAGCCTCTCTTACGTGCTGCCTTGACACCTGGTAAAAGCAGAAGGGCCATAAATGGTCTAACTACAAGCCTCCGTCCCACTCTGCTCCCTTATATAAGGTCCCCTAGCAGAACAATGCTCCTTATCCAGGAGGCCAGACACAATTCCTGCTTATCCTTCAGTAGTGGCTTTCAGTTCCCCATCAGCCTGTGGAATTATTCAAACAAGCCAATCACATCCTCCCATGGGAACCAAGGGGAGCCGTGCTCTCTTGATACTATACAGCCTGCTTGCTACAACCCTTGGTTATTCACTCTGTTCCCAAGTGCACCCCACATGTAGCTCTGTGTGGTGTCTGGTGTCCTCCTAACCCAAGCTGTGAGAACATGTGACAATAAATTGCTGTTGACCTTCTCTGTCCATTGTCAGGTGTCAAGCCACCCCTATAACCCTAGGGTGGGAATCCCTCCCTTACCTACAGGGTAAAGAGGAGGCGATTAAAAGAGAAGATAGAGTCAGCTAGGGTGAAACCTCATAGAAATCCATCATTTGAAAACACTAGTGTCTATTCTACATGCCCCTCCTCTGGTGGTCTGAGGAGTCAGGGGCAGACAGAGAGGAATCACAACTCAGATCAAGTGTCCTGGTTGGAAGTAAGGTATGTAAAACTCCCTGTAATTCAGGAACAATCTAAAACCTGAGGACACTTGCTGCCAGCTCAACAGAAAAAGTAAAGACTTCTGACTAAACGGAGTTAACACTTCTATGAGAAATATAATGAAATTGGAGGGAAAAACAATTAGAGACAAAATCTACAAAATGGGATTGCTCCCAGCTCCAGCTAACCACATTCCTCCTCCAGAACTTGACCTACCCTCAGGCAACAGAGGAGCAGCCAGAACATTGGGCCACATCCAAACCCTTAAGCAGCATTTGCAAGCGACAAAGGGCTAGCCTGTATTAGGACAATTTTTTGAGATCCAGACAGAATGTCCTACATAAAGTATGTATAAAATGAAAATAAACTGTACAGAAACTAAAGATCATCATCAGCATCATTATTCATCAGATCAAAAATGGTACAAGGGTCATTCTTAAAACAGCAAAAGAATCCCTCTTCCTCTACTAGGAAGGAAAAAAAAAAGTAGAGCTAAAGAGAAGGAAACATGAGTCATACCAGAGGAAAGTCTCTCACCATAAATTTCTGCTGCCATGAGTCCAAGTGGAGGCAGATGTCAATAACTCCACGTCTTTCTACGTCTCCTACTCTGGGCATCTCACTTCAGTAAGATGACCTAGGCCTTAGGCCAAATGGTACAGATGATGGCACAGGCCTTCCACTGAGATCACTTCATTGGCAGTGATGAGCTCAAGTTAGCCCTTTTTGAAACTTTGTACTAAGATAGACAAGGTGGGCTCCAATGAAAGGTGTTTACCTCCTGTGCTAGATAGTGCACTTTCCCCACCTCCTGTTACACATTGAAGATGTTACGGTGCTGTCCCCCAACAAAATATCTACCTGTAGAAAATAACTGAAACGTCAAGTATTTCATATGTAGAGAACTAAATTAATATTGACAGATACATGGAGAGTAGCAGAAGGTCTTCCACTACGTGTTCAGCAAAAAGAACCAAAGTTTAGCTGATGACCCTGCTGACATTTTGACTTCTGGCTGGGGCTGGAACTGCAGCTGTGGTTTTGTTACTCGAGGTGCAGACAAGCCACGGAGTTATTTGTGGATTTAACTATTTAATTATTCATTCCTGAATTTAAGAGTCTTTGTTTCCTTCTTTGTGAGAAGGCAAGTAGGCATTTTGCTCAAGTTCTCCCGACTGCCTTGAAATAATTACTTTTTCTAACCTCCTTACTTTCAAGTCCCCTTGCTTTATCTTATCAGTTGACCATTTCTGCAGGGAATTGCTGATATCACTTCTTCATCCAGGATCATTTCCAAAAGAGGAGCTGGGATACAACAAAAATCATCTGGCTATTGAGAAAAATGAAAGTGCATTTTTATTCAGGTATCTTCTCCCCAGTGTCATTGTGCATTCAGTCATGAGCTCTGCATGACATGTGTCCATTCACACAGACGTGTGGGGACATCCATAGATTTGCCTGCTGTGCACTGATCACCGCATGTAGCCATCCATCAGCCAACACTGAGAGCCCACTACATTCGGGGCACAATGACAGACACTCTGGTCTCTGTGGAGTATATTGTCAGCTGTTTACTCCAAATCCAGTCACCTGCCTTCCTTAACAGGATCCTGATTTTTTTTTTTCTTTTTCAGGGACTTTTGTGTCCAACTAAAAAAGGTCAATTTCTTAGGCTCTTTTGAAGCTAAGGATGATCATAAAACATTTCCGGGCAATGAAAGGTATTGGAATTCTACAGAGTAAGATTTCCAGGACACTAAGGTTGGGGAGACATAGTAAGATGGTACAAGTTCCAGGACCATGGATATAGTGCTAGAAGTAGCCGGGCCAACTTGTAAGCAGAAGGATGAAGGTTGCATATGAATGACAAAATAGGAAGACAGGAGGAAGATGGATCCATGCTACTGCAAAGGAACACCTACCTTACCTTCTTAAAGAGAGAAAAATACACCTGTATTTGTACAACTCATGATTTCTTGGGTTTTCTGTTACATGTAGTAACAGAAATGTATATACAGGTGATATAATCAAGTTTTTAAAAACAGGGTGCATGACTATATTTACACAATTATGTCAGTCCCACCTCTGACTAGTTGTTTATCAATTATGAAATTGGAAATAAATTAGGCTGACTATTTTACTCAATTAAATGTGTTACTGAAAGGAACGTTTGATTCACATCTTCTAAATATTAGAAACAAATATATTTGGGTCCCAGAATTCTGCTCATGATGAACAGTACTGCAGATCCTGTCACATACATCCAGAGGCTGATTTAGTATTTGTGATTTAGTGCATAATAGCTCTACTAACACAGGGGTTAAATATTTTATTCCTTTACAGTTAGAATTCCACTGAAAACTTTATTTATTGGATATTTAATTAAATCATAAAATTTTATTTGGGCCCATAGAAATAGTCATTTTTCACCTTGCTTGTTCATATTTCCTAAGTTTCCAGTAAAGATTATGTACTATTTTTATAATAAGGAAAAACAAATTTTTTGGAAGGAACAAATATTACTGAAGAATCAGCACAGAACTGGGTCAAGATAGCAAAATGAACATACTGCTTTCTCCTCCCCCCACAAATCACTCAAAGTGTCAAAAGAGATACCTTTTTCAAAGAGGAGATCTAGAAACCACTAAACATTTCCATTAGCAGAACAGAAATTGTTGGATGTTCCTGGAAGATAAAAAGCAAGCAAGAATGGCTTGATAAGGGTAGAGGGAAACCTCGGCCTGAAAAAAGTTACAAGAGAAAAACATATAGAAGATAAACGCTCATCTAGAAAAAAAACACATAATCAACATTGAGAATAAAGAGAGCAGTAAGGCATCCCCAATTCAGAGGCCAATGGCCAAAGTGACCGAAGAATGTTTTTCTGAACAAAGCAGCCAGGAGAGCTTCCCTCCCTCTAACACTGAACAGCGGGCAGCAGCTAAATGCGATTCCAGGATAAAACCCAACAAGTGTCCTCTTGTTGACAACATGACCACTTGCTTTGG